ACAAACTAACGAATTTTATCAAGCAAACATTTTGAGTTTAACAATTTAGGCTTTTAGGTTAAATCATGCTTTGAATGCAGATTTTCACTCATGCGCATGAATTAGGCTTTTAGGGGGATCAATTATGGATTCTTAAACACCATATTTAACATAGATTAAGGGGGGTTTAGAAATCTATGTTATAGGGTTTAAGATTGTACCTTAAATCACCAATGGATCTGACTGGACCTCCTTTGGGCGTGTGGTTGAATGTATGAGCTTATGGTCGGATTGATTTGAAAGTGACTCTGGTTTCTGCAGCTACAGACTTGAAGTCGAGATTTGAGATGCAGAGAGAAAGAGAGATCACACCAAGGATGGAAGAGAGAGAGAGAGCGCCGGGTAGGGTTTATAGAAGTCGGATTTGTTGCTAAGGGTAGAGACGGTCGTGCTGATAACGTGTTGTGAACGAAGGTGTTGTAACTTGTATATTTCATTATAAAATTGTCCCTAATTCATCAACATCACATTCATCGACAATACTATTGCAAAATAACAAATATTAACTAACATGATTCATCGACATTACATTTTCTCTTATGCATTATAGAGTCTTTCCTAGATCACTTTCTTAATAAAGAGCAGCTTACAAAGTAGTACTCTATAATTCTCGTGATTTTAACAATATTATTGCACTTATCATTTATGCTTCCATGGTAATGTGGAAAAATGACAAAGTAAAACTTTATTCACAAATTTAAATTATACGTAAACTAAAAAATGTTAAAATCACGAAAAATAGAACTATGAAGAAATTTGGTAACACCTGAAATTCAGTAAAACTATGAGCAAATTTGTTTGAGGGGAAATAATTTTTTTCGCGCCAAAGCGAAAATATTCCAAATTTTTTAATTATTTCGGTCAAAGTTAGATTCCCTCTTCTCTTTTCCTTTCTTGTGACTCTCCCTCTTGTCTCGTCAACTTTGCTCTGTCTACTCACTTTTGTCACTTTCCAAGCACTCTCTCTCTCTCTACTCTCTTCTCTCATCTCGTCCTCCCACTCCCACACACATCTCATAATCCATTATCTTTCCTCTCTATCCTCATATTCTCTCTACATCCACGATTTTACTCTTTCCCTTCCCCTTTACTGACCATGACTCATCCGTACGAAGAGGAGAAGGAGATGAAGAAGCTGAAAAAACACTACGACATGTTAGGCTACATTTGCGATGCTCAATGTGGAATTCCTACCCGTTGCCCATGTGGTGGTGAAATCAAGACGGATGTGTCTCCAAATCCGAAGTATCGCCACGATCTTGATACCTTGCCTGGAAGTAGGTACTTCACCTGCAAGAATTATGAGGTAATTTCCTTCTTTGTAGAAAATGTGTTAATCATACTGGGTGAAACTGTGTTATACTCCGGGTGAAACTATGTTTAATCATACTGGGTGAAATTGTGTTATACTTTGGGTGAAACTGTGTTTAGTCATACTGGGTGAAACTGTGTTATACTCTGGGTGAAATTGTGTTTATTCATACTAGGTGAAACTGAGGTGTACTCTGGGTGAAACTGTGCAGGACGATGGAATGCACTTTCGTCAGCCATGGACTTTTGGTGTTGAGGATGAAGTGAGCCGCCTAAGGATGGAGGTCAATGATATGGCTGAAGAAATTGCTAAGCTTAAGAGGCTTATTACCTCCACCTCCCGTCCAAGAGATTGCTAAGTATTGAGTTCATGGATGTGCTAAAAACTATGTATTTCCCAATCTATTTCCAATTTCGATTAATACAAGTCTTTGTCTGTTAAGACTTGTATAAGTGTCTCTGTCAAAACTTATGTTATAATTCAAGCTAGTCTTGAATCTTATCTCATGTTCATTTTAAAGTTTGTACTCTGTCCAAGAATTATAATGACGATTCAGCTAATGTCTCACTCTCATGGTCAACAATAACAACATAACAAAATAGTCATAATAACATAGTCATAACATAGTTAAAGTTCTAAATCCACATCACAAACTAGATAATCATCCAAATACTTTGTTTGTCTACAAAATAAAAACATTAAATATAAAACAATAGGTTCTTCACTCGACTTCACTTAGCTTTTCTGTTTTTTGCCTTTCCCCAAAGACTTCTTGCGTTTCTGGCTTTTACCTTTTCCTTGTGATTCTGCTTCATCTACCTATGCTGCTTTGCCTTATGCTTACGTGACAAACTTCTCAAGCGGGCCCAATCTTCCATTCAACTGGTCAATCTTCTTGTCAACTGTCCTCAACAGTTTCATTGTTCTTTTCACCAACTTCATAACATCTCCCAGTTGAACCGACTGCTCACCTATTTGTACTCCATCCCCTGCTGCATCTTCAATCGGTTCTGGCTGTTTTGCACGCCCAGCTACATCTTCCTCGAACATGTCTTTAAAAAATATATTTTCACCTGCATCCAAACACTTCTCCCAACTGTCCACAACTATATCAGATACATCAAAGTCGTCTTCATCTTCCAAAATCTCATTCAACAGCCTTTCTTCTTGTGGGGTTCTGGTGGGGATGATGCTATTAATAACCTGCCACAAACATAATTAATTTTTAAGCTTATTCCATAGTTCTACCATAGTTATACCCTAGTTCTACCATAGTTTCACAGGAAGACTTACAGTTGTCTTACCAGTTCCTTATTTATCACAGAAAGTGGCACCCCTGTCGATCCATTTCGTTTGAATGAGATCTTGCACATCCTCGGACAGTTGGGAAAATCTCCATCAACAGGCTGTCTGAAAGAACCTTCTAGCTTAGGAATTGCCTCGTATGCAAGAAGTTGTTACACACAAAACATTTTGCATCAGTTGACAACAATAGCGACTGACTGGTTTAATGGTATTTTGCATACCTCTAGTGTAACACAAAATCCTGGAAGCGACCATAATGTTTTCTCTTTCACCACCCCTCCAAAATGCTCCATTGTGTGAGAGATCTCCTTCAGCATGTAATCATATGAAAATCTCCCCCACGGAAAGGACTTGCAGTAGTCAAGATCGTCCACTTCTCTCTGGAACACCTCCAACACATCATTAGCATTGTGTCCAACCTTGGTTTGCGCACAAACAACCGAAGCTAAGAAGAATAAAACCGCCATCTTCGGCCTGTCTTTGTGGGATCCCATGTTCACCAGCTTCTTCTTAACATCCTCTAACCTTCTAGGTTCTCCTTCCTTGAAATGACGATCAACGAACCTCGTCCCACCAAGCTCTTTGTAGCCGAGAGGATAGTTGTGGCAGAATAGCCCAGATATCAAACCATGTTCCCTCAGCCCGTAACGGATGGCAACCCCATTCACAATAAACCACCTCTCTCTCCGCCTCTCGCTACCAGCAGTACGGAGCAACAACATCTACATTCCCTGAACCCTATGGTTATTTTCACTCTTCATGTGGAAAATGTGTTTAAATTGGGGATGCTCCGTGAACCAGCTCCACTCCGCGTTAGACAGCTTGGGTTTCAGATTTTTTAGCGTCTTAATCGTGCTAGCTATCATACACCTTGTGCCAAGCTTTATTTTTTTGTTGTATTCACTGGACTTGAAGAACATGCTCGTTGGTTTGATTATATCGAGTCCCACCTTTCCATTCAAACCCTACAAGTTATACCAAAGTTTTAAATTAGTTATACCGAAGTTATATCCAAGTTATACTAAACTTATATACAATTTTTCCCCAAGTTATAACCAATTTTGCTATAAGTTATATCCAAGTTATATCCAAGTTCCCCTAGTATACCTAAGTGATAATTTCTTACCTCGGGTTCTGGTGGATTCTCATTCATGTTTGCTGCTCTGTCTCCATTTGCTAACTTTTCTCCTTCTCCATTTTCTTTTTCAGAACCTTCATTATCATCATCCTTTTCTTCTTCAGAACCTTCATTCTCATCATCCTTTCCTTCTCCATCTCCATTTCCTTCTTCAGAACCTTCATTCTCATCATCCTTTTCTTCTCCGCCTCTATTTCCTTCTTTAGAAACTTCATTCTCATCATCATTTTCTTCATCTCCAGAATGAGTCCCAATCGCCTGAGTTGCTGGAGGAGCTAAAGGAGATGGGCCAGCAGGACATTTTTTTACTGTCGTCGGAGCAGTTTCTAAAGCCACTTCACTCGTCTCCATTCCCGCCGTAATCTCCCTCGAGTTCTCACTCGTCTTCTCCGCCGTAATCTCCCTCGAGCCCTCACTCGTCTCCCTCGAGTCCTCACTCGTCTCCCTCGTCTGTCATGTTAATTCAACAGTCTCCGTTGTCTTTGTCATCGAGTCAACATTCTCCGTCGTCGTCTTCTCGATATTATCGGAGGCCTCAGCCGTCGTCTCTGCAAACTTCACTCTCCGAGTCTCTTCCTTCGTTGGATTATCCTTCCTCTTATCTCCTCCTCTCGTTTCGACCACTATCGCACTCGATTGAATCCTCCGAATTCTTCTCTCTCGTTCTCACCGTTGATTTTGGGTACAAAATTGATTCAAATTAGGAGAGAAGCGAAATTAGGGTTTGTTTGAACTCGAGTGTGAAAGAGAAGAAATGAGAAACGAAATCGACAAGAGGAGGTTTAACTAAATTGAATTATTTAAAACCGACACAACCGACAGATTTGGTTTAGTTTTCGAGGGATTGGTTCGGTTTCGAGGGCTGGATTTGGTTTTGAGGGATTGGTTTGGTTTCGTGGGATTGGTTAGACGGTTAGACGATTCGATTCAATTGAATTGACCATAAATCCGGGGCGGGTCGGGGCGGATGGGTTATACCCTGGTAAAACTTGTAAATATTTTAACTATTCCACGGTTTTTATGTCATTTGTGCTATTTCTGATTTTTTAAATAAATGTTTATCTTTATGCTTATATGGGTATCTATGAGAATTGCCTTTTGACATTTAGGGGCTAGGAGATGCCTCATTTAACAACCCACTGTGGTTGGTTTGGACTTTGGTTTCCATAACTCACCGCCCACAAATTCATCAGGCTAACGACGAGGATGATGATGATGGCCACTCACTCTCTCAATCTGCGTCCCACTCCACTTAGACCAAATCTCCTCAGATTCGATTCATCCTCAAAAAACCTGACGACTTGTGTAGGAATAAGGTCCACAACCCCTCGGAAGAGGCAAAATCTGAGCATCAGATCCGTATTCACGGGAATCGTGGAAGAAATGGGTCAAGTGAAGGACCTTGGATTAGCTGCCCACGGTGGATTCGACCTCAAAATCGGCGCCAAAGTGGTGCTCGAGGACGTGAAGCTCGGCGACAGCATCGCCGTGAACGGAACCTGCCTAACCGTCACGGATTTCGACTCCGAGGAGTTCACCGTCGGGTTAGCGCCGGAGACCCTGCAAAAGACTTCGCTGGAGGAGCTGGAGAGAGGATCTCCGGTGAATCTGGAGCGTGCGCTGCAGCCGGTGAGCCGTATGGGCGGGCACGTGGTGCAGGGACACGTGGACGGCACGGGGGTGATTGTTTCGATGGAGGTTGAGGGGGATTCGCTGTGGGTGAAGGTGAAGGCGGGTGAGGGTTTGTTGAAGTACATTGTCCCCAAGGGGTTTGTGGCTGTGGATGGGACGAGTTTGACGGTGGTGGATGTGTTTGATGATGAGAGCTGCTTTAATTTCATGCTCGTTGCGTATACGCAGCAGAAGGTGGTGATTCCCACCAAGAAAATTGGACAGAAAGTGAATTTGGAGGTTGATATCATGGGGAAATATGTTGAGAGGCTTCTCACAACTGCCGGCTTTTCCGTGAACACGCCACAGGTAAACTACAAAGCTTAGATCTTTTTCTGCATTCTTCTTTTGGTCATTTATAGTGACTTCATTCTAGTCAATTGACTCGACTACTTTTGCCGTCAATACACTGCGCTGAAACTAGTTCGAAACTTGTCACACTAACCATCGCTTGTACATTGACTGCATTCTTCGCTTTAGTCATCTATAGTGACTGCATTCTAGTCACTTGACACGACTACTTTTGTTTGACAAACTTAGTGATCCTGTCTTTGTGTGTGTGTTCCTTGATACCTAATCACTATGCTCAGCTGGAGAAGCGTGTTCTTGTGTAATTCATTATCTATGCATTGCATTTGGCATTTTGTGGGTGCCTGCACTGTTGAGCTTCTAGTTTTGGGCTAAGAAATTTGTGCTGTATTTGGTACAGGAAAAGAAGGGATGATACTTAGATGGGTGAGAATATGGTGAGCGAAGGAAGCTTATTTGGGACCTGTAGGTCTATGTAAGATGGATCTTGACCTATGTTTCTTTGTAGTCATGGTCATTGTAGCTACTACTCAAAAGTTAGGTGCTGTGAGAAAAGTAGATGAACCTCATCGAGTAATGATGGTCAGTTCATTTGTGTGATAAACCTTATAATCAATTGAAGAATAAGTTTATGAATCCATTAAAAACAATTGTTAAAGAGTACATAATACGAAAAATATATACAAATATTAAGGTGTACTTTACCCATGGAGCGCGTTCTTGAGATGTGTTACTCAAATTCAGAGAGATAGTGGATGCTCAAGGATGCGGACTCGGTGACATTAGTCCAGTGGAGACGTTTTTGCACGTGTTGGCAAAGATTCCAGGAGGATAACGACCGTAGAGGTTGATGATGTAGCTTAACATTGTGGAGGCACAATGGTTCTGGTCGTCTTTGAGAGCTTCAGGGGAAAGCGCAAGCAAAGTCTTTGAAAGAACGCGCGTTTGCATCGTGTTTCATTTCAAAAAGTAAAAATAAATATTTCATTAACCAATTAAATCCAGTTTAGAACCCTCTCCATTAAAATTAGTAAAAAAAAAAAATTAAAAGTCTCTTAGAGGCTGATTCTTCTTTGTTTTTTTTTCTGTCAAAGGCTGATTCAGTAATGGGAAATTGGACTCTATGGACACAAAAAAAACTGTAATATGCCAAATAGCTATTTAACCTAACAGATGTATAGACGCCGTTAACATTATATTTTAATACTGTTTTGCCCTTCTTTTCAACCGGATAAACCTGTTGAATAATTTTTTTTTTTAATTCAACTTGTGGAAAGTAAAATTGTAAATCGTGGCTTCTCCACCTTCACAATATTTTTCAACTTATCTACTTACCGGCAATTATAACACAAAATATTTTCATCAGTGAGCCCAATATCCTGCCGTCTCCGCCTCGTCCTCTTCAGCTTTGCCATCTACATCGTCCTCTGCCGCTACTCCGTCTCATCTCAGTAGCTTCGTTAAGTCTGCAACTACTCCATCGAGTCTCATTGGCTTCGTTAAGTTCACCGCTACTCTATCGCATCTCAGTAACTGTATGTTCTCTGCTCTCCTCCCTTCATCTTATATTATTTTCTTTTCTATGGCTCGTTTATACTCTGAGCTAGGGTACTGTAATTGTAAAATCCACCACCATATAGACTTTGCATGTCAGATCTGAGGCGATTATTGGCCGAAACAAATTCAATTTATACTTGATTGGGGTTCCTACTTATGTATTATACTCTTATTGCTTTTGAATTCTAGCTTTTCTCAAGTTTGATTGGGGTTCCAAGTGATTATTGTGTGGAATAGTGTTTGATTTACAGTTTTGTTTCTCTGTATGTATATAGTACGGTGTTTCAAAAATCACTTTCATATGAAGTGGAATAGATTTCATATGAAGTGGAATAGAATAACCTTCGAATACCTAGGTGTCTCGTTTTATGTATATAGTATGTTTTTGTTATCGATCTATTCCATGTGAGGTGTAATAGAATAACTTACGAATACCTAGGTGTCTCATTCTATGTATATATTATATTTTTGTGATTGATCTATTCCATGTGACATAGAATAGAATTTTATATAAGTTCACACTTTCAACTCTAAATTGAATTGTAGATTTATATCTTATGTATTTCCATTATTTATCCATACTTGTTATATATTTATAACTTATATGTTTCCATTGTTTCTCTTTTTATTTTCCCGGTTTTAGGTTTGCCATAGACGAGTTAGAGCTTCCAAGTAGAATGTTTGAGACAGGATTCGAACTCACTGGGAGGAACAGAGTTAACAACTACTTCTACATCTGGTATATTGAGGTCATAAAGCTTGCATTAGAGGAAGATGATCTCGCTATGTTGAATGTGTCTCAGTTTAGCCAAGTCATGCAGATGGGGACCCATACCTTCTCGGTTATGTTTCTTCATTATATTCTGACATGGCAGCTGGTTACTGAGATGAGTTTAATTCATCAACATTGTTGTCGTCACTTGCTTTGGGTTTATATTTCCTTATTTTTTGTTTAGTGTTTATAACATTTTAAATGTTTTCTCATGTACTATTTGTAAAACACTTGCGGGAAGGTTAGTTTAATTTCAGAAAACCATGTCTTTCAATTGATGAGGGTTAATAAATGCAGTCACAAATATTTGATAATTTAACTACTAAGTACTATGTTATATATTTTTTCCATTCCATGTGATGTAGCGTTTATATGTGGTTTTAGGGTTCATATTTGGTTTTAGGGTTTACATTTTGGTTTGGGGTTCACTTATTAGAGATTAGGGTTTAATATTTAGTCGTTGTGGTGGGATCAACATTACCTTCTGTTATTGGTCATGTTCTTATTTTGTCACCTGGTTGACATTTGGGTGTAACATGTGTGCCTGCCATTGGGAATGGAATAGTAGTAGATGGAGTCATTTTATACTACGTGAAATGGATCAGACATGAAAATATCGTATCTCATCGTCCCTTGAGTCGTGTTTTGTTCCATTCCATGTGATGTAGAGTTTATATGTGGGTTTAGGGTTTATATTTGCGTTTATGGTTTATATTTTGGTTTAGGGTTAACTTATTAGAGATTAGGGTTTAGTGTTTAGTGGTTCTGGTATGTTTAGGGTTAACTTATTAAAAATAACATAAATAATACATCCATATATGTGATCTCCGCATATATGTGTGTATTTAGCAAACAAAAAAATCAGCATTTCTCCATTCAAGCTTTTACTCAAGTCCTTATCTTTACTTACTCCACCTAATTACGTGACTTCTTCCTACTCTTTAAATTGGAATAGTTGTAACTCACTATTGAACATTTATTCCATGGACTACGTCATCGTCTTTTCTCGTCTTTTCTGAAGCGCACACGTCACCGCCTTTATATTTATGTTTTTCTATATAACCATATGGAATAGATCTAGACTAAATAGAATAGACTCTCTAGAGTTGCCCTAATATGATTTGTTACATGGAAATTAAACTTTTTTGCAATCCTAGGGATAATAAGACGGGATAGTGGCATCTTCTTTACCTTAAGATTTCATGAATCTTTGTTGGTTTAGTATTAACAAGTACGGGTTAGTGATTACGTTAAAGCATTATCGTGTTTCCTTGCATCATGAACATTTGCACTGTTGAAATAGTTATACTATTTTATGTAGAGTATATAGTATAGAAATAAGTACATGTAGAATAGTACATTCATGATCTTCCTCCAGTCGCCGTTAGTTTGTCATAGTTTCTGATATACCTGCAAATATTATTCACTGCTTTCTATTAATCCCTTTACATCATATGTGTTGAATAAATCTTTTCCACGCATTACAATTGTTTTTTGATTACTATTATACCATAGAAAAGGAACACGTCGTTTGCTTTATAATATGAACCGGTAACCTCTTCCTTTCAAGGGTATAACCGGTTGGAAACAAGGCAAAATACCTGACATTAAATTACGTCAAAATCATGTCTAGTTTCCTAATTTATATGCCATACATGGCTATTTCGCCAATTACCCCTTCAGTAATACTCTTCTCTTTTTTTTGACATTAATACTCTTCTCAAAAGTCAAAATACTAACTCGAGTGAGAGGGGTTTGCGACATAAATCGAATGAAACGACACGGTGACTGTTAAACCCTAAACCCTAGCTTCACCGGCCGCCGAAAGCATGAATCACCTTCTTCGTCTTGTCCGTCCAACGCCAAATTACATTCCGAGGAGCTTCTCTTTTCACTCAAAAAGGACCGTACCGTCGGCGTTGGACCCCTACGACACTCTGCAGCGTCGAGTAGCGAGGGCCGGCGATCCGTCAGCTTCGATTGTCAGAGTGTTGGAAGGATGGCTTGACGAGGGGAATACAGTCAAGACTTCGGAGCTCCACTCCATCGTCAAGATGCTCCGCAAGTTCAGCCGCTTCTCCCACGCCCTCCAGGTCTCCACTTCTCTCTTTCTTCTTCACTTTCCCGTTTTTTTTTTTAATTCCTCCTTTTTTTTAAATTAGATATCAGATTGGATGAGTGAGCATAGAGTTCACGACATCTCCGACGGAGACGTAGCGATTCGCCTTGATTTGATCGCCAAAGTCAACGGTCTCAGAGAAGCAGACAAGTTTTTCGAAAAGATTCCTATCGGAAAGAGGAACTACCATCTATACGGCGCGCTCTTAAACTGCTACGCAAGCAAGAAAGTCTTGCACAAAGCTGACCAGCTCTTCCTCACGATGAAAGAGCTCGGCTTCCTCAGAGGTTGTCTTCCCTACAACGTCATGCTCAATCTCTACATCAGGTGCGGCAAATACACTATGGTCGAGAAGCTTCTCCGTGAGATGGACGATGAGAACGTCAAGCCCGACATCTTCACTGTGAACACGCGCCTTCACGCCTACTCCGTTGTAGCTGACGTGGAAGGAATGGAGAAGTTTCTGATGAGCTGCGAGGCTGACACTGGACTAGAGCTTGACTGGCGCACTTACGCTGATGCTGCTAACGCCTACATTAAAGCTGGTTCGACCGACAAGGCCGTTGAGATGCTGCGTAAATCGGAGCACTTGGTGAATCCTCAGAAGAGAAAGCAAGCCTACGAGGTTCTCATGTCATTCTATGGCGCTGCGGGTATGAGACAAGAGGTCTACCGTCTCTGGACCTTGTACAAGGAGCTCGACGGGTTCTACAACACTGGATACATAAGCGTCATCAGCGCGCTCTTCAAGGTGGATGATCTCGAGGGTGTTGAGAAGATTATGGGAGAGTGGGAAGCTGGACACTCTTTATTCGATGTCCGGATCCCGCACTTGTTAATAACAGGTTATTGCAAGAAGGGGATGATGGAGAAGGCGGAGGAAGTAGCGAAGATGGTTGTTCAGGAGACGAGCACGTGGGAGAGGTTAGCTCTGGGTTACAAGATGGCGGGGGAGATGGAGAAGGCGGTGGAGAGATGGAAGAAGGCGATAGAGGTGAGTCAGCCAGGGTGGAGACCACACCAGGTTGTGCTGATGAGCTGTGTGGATTATGTAGAGGGTCAAAGAGACATGGAGGGTTTGAGAAACATCCTGAGGATGCTTAGCGAGCGAGGACACATTTCCTACGATCAACTACTTTACGATATGAAGGGAGGTGGAGGACTGGGTTGGAAGATAGTCGATGCAATGGGAACAAGACGGTACAACATTGAGGAACCACAAGTAAGGTCGTAGCCAGAACAAACATTGGAGTCTTGCTTGACAGACCATTTGGATACTAAAATTCCATATATCATGAGTTTTTTTTATGAGCGTAAGAAGGGGTTAGTTAACAAATTCGAAAGGCCTGATATGCAAATCCATAGTGCACTTTGATTGTTTGGGTCAAAAGACTCTATAACCGTCACAACATGCGCATACGGCTGAAATATCAAATGATCTAATAAGCGTAAAGCGTATAAAGTTGAGATTAACACCACATCATCATCCAAAACTCATGTGCAATATTAAGAGTTCTCATCATATCCATCATTGAACAAGAAGAAAAGGAATAGCGACACCCAACCAAGTCATTAATTAGGCCGAAGAAGACAATTACAAATGAAGAAAAAGACCCACAAATGTATGAAGAAGACAAAGTTTGCTGTATCTGGTGGAAGAAAGGAAAAAAAAGGAACAAAGACAAAGATGTAGGAGAGAATGAAGGAGGAAATCATCGACGAAGCTTTTTGACTTTGGACCATCCCTTCTTGCAAGATTTGCCCACGACTTTGATACCTTTCTTCAACAGAAGCTTCAGCTCAATTGCCCTCATCTTCACCTTATCCTCGAATGCTCCCATCTTCTTCCTTCCTTGGATAACTCGGAGATCTCTATTCTGATAATTAAAGTTTCTCTTATGCCCACATATCTTTATTTATAGATGTAACAAGGGATATGACAGCTACGATTAGTTTATTATTATGAGATGTACATTTGTATTAATAGATAAATCGGGAGACTTAACACCTAATATCTCTTCTGTATTTATCTTTTAAGATTCTTTACTAATTTTGCCATTTGCTTTAGGTTTAACAAAAAAACTACACTAGAAATTCCAAGTATAGCATAATTGGTTTTGAATAGAGATGAGTCCCCCCTATATTGCGTCGACCAAAATAAAAAGAGAATTTGTACACGGTACACGTGCCATAAACTAACCGTTGGGAAATGGCCAGTTGAGCAATCCTTATCACACACAGGACCCGCAAATTGACCACCCACCAGCTTGTGCTTTGCTTGTTGTTAGGCCTTCAGCCTTCTGCATTCGGATCTTTAGTTTAGGTTCGATCGTCCATCAGATCTGAGTCCTCCATATTTTAGAGATTTAGATTCATAGCGATACCTATAAATTTTAAAACTCTTTGGATCTCAATTTTCAAAACTATTTAATATTCAAATTTTCAGATATAAATTGGTTCACTAATAAATTCAAGTTGCGCCAAGAAAACTAAATGTTCACTTAGAGAATCTAAAACTGAACATACTACTTTGATGAATAAGGAGTGATTTGAGGTTCTCCAACAGCGTCGTAAATCTCAGCAGCTAGCTTCCGTCGAAGATCCTGAATGGTTTCATCACGTAGACCTTCAAATGTGCACCCAATTGCAAGACACTCAATGTATTTTATGGTATAGACACCACAGTCTCCTGGGGGGTCATTCTGTGGAACCTTTTTCAGTCTACGTACACTGAATTTTTTTTCACTTTTCTTCCGAATATTGGCGGGTACTAAAGCACTCAGGATGGATGGAATCATTTTTGCAAACGGACGGCAGGAGTTCTGGATTTCTCTATCATCTAGTAAGGTCAGAATGCTGTCATAAACGGTAATGGCCTCCTTCCCCAAGTCGATGTCCAATGCAACCCAATGATTACCATTTACAAAATGACATGCATATAGATGATCAATATCATGAAGCACTTCTTGTTCGTGACTCGGTCAGATGGATACGTACCGTTGAAGATACCCTTATATGTATCTGTAGGTTTCCAAGTCTTCGGATTAAACTCTTTGAAATCACTGACAATTTTGGTGACAACCCACTGATCCAAAAAAGTAATCCGCTGAGAATGGTATGGTGAAGGATCACAAATTGATCTCTTATAGAACATATGCATTGCAGACCACATATGCTGAAAGAATTTTTTTTTAAAAAAAACAACTTGTTAGAACATATGTATAACACGAAGAAAATTTAAGACACAAACAGTTAAGAACAAATGTATACCATGTTAGTCAACCAGCCATAATTATATGTACGCCACTGCTTTCTTGGAGTTATTATCACCTTATAGAATTCTGTACTATTAGTACAGGTTTTGTCTGATTTTTGCCTAAAAGAAAATAATATATAGATTTAAACAAGTATAGCAAAATGATATTATTAAACTCAAGTAAAGAACAAGAAGTCATACTCATCATCCAGTAGAAAATGCAGTAAATTCCTCATTTTATCATCGTCGACATCAGCAAACGGATCATATGCTGAGACAGATGGTGTTACACCTGTGATGATGCGCCTCACGGTGGAGTTTCCTATGAAAGGAAATAGCTGAGATGATGCTAGCTTAGTTTGGCGCTTGTGCGGAGGTGAGGAAGGTGTAGGAGTAGGCTTATTCAGCTTTCTAGCCATGGCTACAAAGACATCTAAACGGTCACTGAGATCTCTAGCCTTGTCACGTTGCACTGGATCAGACCATGTTTCATCCCCTGAGGCGTTATCAAGTAAATGTGGCACTTGTATTTTGGTTTTCAAAACCTTCTTATCGAAACCTTTTTTTTTGTCAAGTCCCATATCTTCACATTTTTTGCTTGCCTTCCTTGCTTTCTTGACAACACGTTGAGAAGGTAAACCATCTTGTGATGTGGAATTCATCTCCACCATCCAAGACTTCAAAAGAAAAACATATCATCGCATTACATATACATTTAAAAAAATATATATAGTTATAATCTAATAGGAAAGAAACATCTAAGATTACAATAATAATCATACCATTTCTTTGCTATTTATTTCAGCATTTTCATTAACGTCAATGTTGGAATTTGCATCTTCTTTTCTCTCATCAGCTGCATCTTTTTCTTTCATCTTTTGAAAGTCCTTCTCCATTTTTGCCAACCTCTCATTCATAGGAGCGAGAAGAGCACCAACCTTTGATTCGACCGATGTATCTATGTTATCCAGTTTTCCTATCACTGTCTTCATCAGAGTGTAAAGCTGGTTCACAGGAATTTTTTCCTTCTACAATTAATCAAACAAATTATTATAATAAAGAATATTACACATTTAGTTAAAAAAGTAGAAAAATAACTTACACTTGGACTACTAGTATCTTCCTCAATCTGGACACTTTTTGTATCATTAGCTTTCTTCTTTTTAGAACTCTCACCATCAGTCTCGGGGACAGATTTAGGACGCTTCATTCTTGTAGTAGCTGGAGATTCTTCTGTGACATCCCAAAATCCACGATTTATACAATCATTACGTATATCCAGAACCAAGTTTGTCACATCGCCATCATCAACTTCATCATCCCACTTCGGCATATACTCTCCATTTGGCAGTGTAGTAAAATGTTTCACACGCACCTGTAAAATAATTTTATTCATTTACTATGAAATAAACAAAAACGAAAATAACACAATTGTAAAGAAAATAAACCTTATTTTCATGATGCTCTTTCTCCTGTCTAAAAAAATCCTCAAACTTGAATCGCTTACGGGATCCACTCCATGACAGAAGAGGCACTTCTGCACCACCAATTCTATTCCCGTAAAGCTCTCCTAAGCCTGTAACTGACTTATATGCCCATATCTGTAAGATGAAAATGAACCCTGCCATTGTATAAGATTCCTTTGTGCTATAATCAGCACACTTAACAGAGTATATCAAACTCTGACACGCTACGCGGCCCCATGGGTATCTCTGGAAAGCTTCATAATCAAGGACTCTCTTCGCACACTCCAACGGAATATGACGTGAGGGAGCAATTCCATAAACACCAAGATGAAGAACACATAACAATCCAACCATTGTCCTCTTCTCGAGACTCCAATATTTGCATCTTTCCAATACTGACTGAAGCTGAGCCAAGTTAGGACCAACAACTGTAGAAATCCCCATTTCTTTCCAAAACTCTGTATGATCAACATCACAAATCTCCCCTTTGTTGAATGGTTCACAATTCATTCCTGTTATCTCACCAAATTCAACCAAAGAGAGACGAATGGGCTGCGAATCAATCAACGACCATATCTCATAATTTTTCTTCACTTGAATCTGATTCGTTAATAGGTAATGGACAAGCTTAGCACACCATGTGAATTTGAGCTCGTAAAACATTGGAAATACACCAACTGCAGACTTCTTTACAGCATCCCACGCATCAAACCCCACACCTTCTCTTACCATTTGAAAATTTGACAAATAACTATAATAGCTCATACTCCTTTGTTGACTAGGAGCTTTTCCTTTCTTGTAGAGTAGACAGGGATAGTTTTTCTTACTGCTTGAAGACTCCATATCTATTAGTAAATAGGGGTTAATTGTCTTTTTGTACCTATATTAGATTATTTTGATTACACAGAGTTAAACTAGTAATTAAGTAAAAGATTAGAGTTAATCTGAGTAATTTTCTCTAGTAGGTATCATTTCTGTTAAGAATAATATTTTGTGAGTTAGTTAAACATAAAATAGTAAGAGCTAACTATTTTGGGTAAAATATTCTATGGAAAATTTATTCTTGTATTATTTCTTGGCAAACCAATTAAACATTCAGCTTTGAAAAGAAAAAGATATAAAATTTAGAATAATTATTTTATTCACCCTATGGCGTGAAAAATCATAGGCTCGGCTCTGAGTATCTCCAAACATTTACAGAGCCATATTTTCGTACATACTCATCATGAAAAATCTGTCAAAAGCAAACTGTGTAAATAGGCTATATATAATACACACAACACCAATTTTATAATGAGACTGCACTCACTTGTGTGAGTTGGGTGCTTCTGTGGTTTTCTCTGATGAAAATTATACTCTCTGAGTATTAACCTGGGAATATAAAAAAAAACCCATTTAAGTGATTCTAAAACCCATTTATCAGAAGAATTTTTGAACATAAACGTTACGTGGAACAAAGTAACAACACCTGCTGAGTGCTACGTTGAGAGGGAGTAGAAGTAGAAATGTCTCAATGAGTTATTACAGTGTAAAAATCTCCCAAAAGATGGTCTCAGCGCAATCACTCCTAACTTTAATAACTACATGATGTGGGATCCCTACATGATGTCTTAGAATTGCTTACGAATGGTTGATTAGCCGGGCTATATTGTAGAGTTATCAGATTCAAAATGCTTAGGTTAATGACTTCTACGAGATTATGATTTTGTTGTTTTGTTTCTGGTTTAGATCAAAGCACGAGACAACACAAGATTTGTTCACCCGGTGTTCGCTGATCTACTCACCGGGGAGGAATCGGAGTTCCTCAACAGATTCACTAATCAAACTCAATCAAGATACAAAGACTACACACAGTATATAATCGAAAACAGAGCTTTACAAGAGAAATCTCAAACCGATCGTATCCTCTGAGGAATCGGAAAGTCACTGCCGGAATGGTTTGATCCAACCGTGTACCGCCTTTGTAACTCCTTCGATAACCACCCTCACGATCACACAAGCTAAGTCACAGCTTTATCTCTCTACACTCTCAATACCTTGATCTTGTTTCTCTCTCTTTGTCGTCGTTGAGACGATAGAATTCAAAAGTTTGTTTTGTAACAAACCTTTTCCCACTTGCGTACCAAAACGCAGTCGTATCAATCAGTGATTCTCCAACTTGGGCTGAGACTTGGCTTTCTCAAATGCAGGTTTCGGGAATGATGCTGATGGGCCTTAGAAGTAGAAAGCCCACTTGGAGTTTGGCTGAACCTGATCCACAAACTCCACCTTCCAGACACAACACCAAGTGATTTCATTTCACGCAAAACCCTAGCCACTCAACTCTCTGCTTCTGTCTGAGGCGATTCATCGTCTCCAACCAAACCAAGTCAATCTAGACTCTCCTGAAGCTCTTCTCCGATTCACTCTACCTCTCAGAGTAACACTAACCAACAGGTACTCTCTCAAACTCTTCATTTCTCTTATCAGAAACTACCAGTTTTGCGTAACTCCCATAAAACCTCTTTCTGATACTTTATCTTGTCTTCCTTTTGCAGATCCTGAGAGTCACACCAAACGTAGACCCGATAAACTGACGATGACTCTACATGTCACTTATCTGACCCAACGAACCCTCAACCTTCTCTGCATGAACCAGATCCGAATCACAAAACAGCCGATCTATCCATCTGACATCAAAAGTCTCCACCTTTAATCAACCCAAGCCTCAGATAAGTCTCAAAGACCTTTCTTCTTTGGTTAGACAACGAGCATCAACCACTCAGAAACTGATTGAACACCTTGAACTTTCTGACTCTGCAATATTTTCTGTTTCAGGAACCATGAAGAGACTCCACCTGAAACTGAAGACACACATCAACTCCACCTCGCTTCCAGAACTCGGGTAATGACTTCTAACACTTTGAATGCTATGTTGAAACTCAAAACAGGAACGATTAGCATTATAATTACTAACACACTTCTCTCTGTCTTGCGAGGTAAAAGATCAACTCCGAAGCCATGTCATTACCCGTAGCCGAGTCAACCTCAGAACAAATTCACCAGTTCAGAACATAGTCTGAACTTCGGACCAGGTAACACCTTTGTCAAAAAATCTGCTGGGTTCTTGCTTGTATGAATTTTATGTAGAACAACATCACCCTGAGCAACAATATCACGGATGAAGTGATATTTGTTTGCAATGTGTTTGGTCTTTTCATGATACACTGTATTTTTAGCTAGAGCCAAAGCACTTTGAGAATCACAGTGTAGTTTCACTCTGTCAATTTTTAGACCCAACTCGTTGCAAATCCCTTTCAACCAAATAGCTTCCTTGGTTGCTGAGGCGAGTGCCATATACTCAGCTTCAGTAGTCGAAAGAGCAACAACTGACTGTAGATTAGACCTCCATGATACAGTGTTTCCCCAAACTTTAAACACATATCCTGTAACTGAACGCCTTCTGTCTAAATCTGCTGAATAATCTGAATCTGAAAACCCTTCAACTTTGCATTCTGAATGTTTGATGAAAATTAGACACGTTTTAGATTCTCCTCTTAGAAATCTGAGTATCCATTTAACTGCTTTCCAATGATCCCTTCCCGGTTTACTCATAAATCGACTCACAACTCCCACTGCATGAGCTAAGTCTAGTCGGGAGCCTATCATGGCATACATTAGGCTCCCCACAGCACTCGCATAAGGGATGTTTTCCATTCTCGAAGCTTATGTTATACCTTCCTCTTTGGTTAAACTCTTCAGCTTGAATTGAGGCACCAATGGAGTTGAGGTTGACTTAGCTTTTTCCATTCCGAAACTTTTAAGAACCTTCTCAATATAGTTTTCCTGAGATAGAATAAGAGTACCCTTCTCCCTGTTTCGAATTATGTCCATGCCCAGTATTCTATAAGCCTTTCCCAGATCCTTCATCTCAAACTCTCTGCTCAAGCTATCTTTAGTTTTCTGTATTTCAGCCAAATCACCTGACGCTATTAACATATCATCAACGTATAGCAGTAGGTAGATAGCCTTAGGAGTATTGATGTTTCTTAGGTATACGCATGAGTCGTACTTGCTCTGTAGGAACTTCTCCCTTTTCATAAAACTGTCAAACCGTAGATTCCATTGTCTTGGAGATTGCTTTAAACCGTAGAGAGACTTCCTTGGTAGACAGACCTTGTTCTCATCTCCTGATTTAATGTACCCTTCAGGTTGATCCATTAGAATCCTTTCCTCTAGAGAACCGTGTAGAAACGCTGTCTTAACATCCATCTGTTCTAGCTCATAGTCTCTGTTAACCACAATAGATAGCATTATTCTGATAGAAACATGTTTTACCACAGGAGAAAATATCTCGTTGTAGTCAATGCCTTCTTTCTGTGAATAACCCTTAGCTACGAGTCTAGCTTTATATCTTCTCTCTTCAACTCCTGGAATCCCTGGTTTATATTTGTAGAGCCACTTACAACCCACAGTTTTCTGTCCCTTTGGTTTTTCGATTAGATCCCAAGTATGATTCCGTGTCAAGGAATCCATTTCATCATCTGATGCATTGTTCCATAGCTTCCTATCTTTGCTTCTCTGAGCTTCCTGATACGACTTAGGTTCATTTTTCTCAATATCATCTGCTACTGCTAGCGCATATGCAACCAAATTTGCATCCTCATATCTAGATGGTGGTCTGACATTTTGTCTTCGAACTCTATCTCGAGCTAGCATGTAGTTATCAAGGGGAACATTAGCATCGGTGTCTTCTTCGAAATTTAAACCCTCTGTCTCATCCTCACTATCTGAATTTTCTGAACTTCCATACTCTTCTGTGTCTTGTTGAGATGCTTCAGTATTTCCAACACCAGAAGATTCACCATGTTCATATTCAGGACTGTTAGGACCTCTGATCAGACTTGGACTAAACGAAACCTTCTTCTTGGGTTTACTTGTCCCTTCATGTGTAGCTCCTGAACCCTTAGTACGATCTGTAGTATTCTGAACTTGAGTATCCTTATAGATCTCTTCTTCCCTGAACACAACATTCCTACTCGTAGTACACTTTAGATCCTCAGGAATCCACACCCTGTAACCTTTAACCCCAAACGGATAGCCAAGAAACACTCCCTTTACAGCTCTAGGACTAGTCTTCTCCTGAGTGACATGCACATAAGCTGTGCATCCAAACCTCCTCAGATGTGATAAATCAGGCATGTTCCCTGACCAAACTTCCTCTGGTAGTTTGAAGTCAATGGTTGAATTTGGAGTCTGATTTATCAGATATACTGCAGTTGATGTAGCCTCTGCCCAAAACTCTGGTCCCAACCCTGTTTCTGCCAACATACTCCTCACTTTATCCATAATGGTGCGGTTCATACGTTCTGAAACCCCATTCTGTTGAGGAGTATAAGTGCAGGTTCTGTGCTTCTTAATTCCAGACTTTCTGCACAGATCATCAAACTGATTATTGCAGTATTCTAAGCCATTATCTGTGCATAGACATCTGATACTCTTCTTCGTATAACTCTCTACAGCCTCCTTCCATTCTTTGAACTTAGAGAAAGCTTCGTCTTTAGTTCTTAGGAAATACACCCAGACCTTCTTGGAGTAGTCATCGATGAAGCTAATGAAGTATTTGCAACCTCCCAGACTTTCTGGAGTTGAGGGAGATCCCCAAAGATCTGAATGCACATACTCAAGTATTCCTTTCGTAGTGTGCTTAGCCTTAGGAAAACTTTGTTTGTGTGATTTTCCCAATACGCATCCTTCACAAAACTCTAGTTCTCCAACTTCAGTCTTTGGCAGAAAACCCTCCTTCACTAATATCTCCATGTTCTTAAAACTCATATGACCAAGGCGTGAGTGCCATAATGTAGTTTTAGAACTTATAGCTTGACTTACATTCGCTTCATCTTTTGATACAGTACCTTGTAGATAATAAAGTCCATTAGCATATTTGCCTAAGATGATCTTTTGTCCTTCCTTGTAGAATGTAACTTTAAAATCTTCGCCTGCATACTTGCATCCTGACTTCTCAAGCATACCATAGGAGATAAGATTTCTACTCATGTCAGGCATATAGCGTACGTCTTTAAGAATAATCACATCCCCATCATCATTTGTGATTCGTATATTGCCAATGCCTTTTACTTCACTCTGAGTATTGTTAGCCATTAGAACCATACTGCCATCTCCGTCCCTTAGATCAAACAAAACGTCTTTGTCAGGAGTAATGTGAA